AGGTATTTGTGCATTCAAAAAATAAGCGCACTGATTTTAAACAGATGTATTTCTCTTTTTCAGTAGGCTTATAGATGTAGATTTTCAAAAGTGTGTCTTATATTCAAGTACATGTACACTGATTAAATGCTAACCATGAAAGCATGTACTCAGAAATACAGTGAAGTATTATATGTGTACCATCATTTGTTTCTATGTGATAAAAAATAGTATTGCAAGATTTTTTCCAAATTAGCATGGCTTTTTGCTTAAATAATGAAGGCAAAGGAATATGATACTTTCCTTATTTTTATTCTCCACGTAACAATCAAGTAAGGCAAGGTGGGACAGAGATCAGAAAAATCTTCAAGTAGTGCAATGATTTCCTATGTGTCTTTCACATGTTGTCAGGCTTAGTGAGTCGAGAACAAAATATGTACCTCACAAGGCTGTTTATTTTTCAATAAATATTTAAATATGTATATCTACAAGTGTGTAGAAGAGTTGAGTATCTAACTACTTTCAGAATGAGAGTATATGCAAATGAGCACACAGAAAACATTCCTAGGTAGAGACTAAACAAAGCTATAAATTTGGAGCTAGACCAAACCTTTATATAATAAGTGGTAATGTAAAAGCTGCTAATGGAGAAGGAGTATGAGGGATATAGGAAGAAGGGTGATCAGTATGACTATTAGGTTACTACTGACTAACAAATAACTGGCTCAAACCGTAACTCTTCAAACTTTTTACATGGCCAAGTACTTTTTACCTCTGTCTTCCAAAAACTGGAGAAAAGGTACAATAGTAACGAAGAAATGTTAAATTCAACAGTGGAATTATCATTTACTGTCTAGTAAACATACCATGTCTAGCAAACACGAGTACTTTCATTTACAAGCTTGATACTATTAATGCAATTTCTGATAGCGGGAATTAGACTTCAGAACCAATATACAATTTGTATAATTAATATAATAGAATTATTTACCAAGTTTGCTGATGACACTAAACTGAGTGGGTGAGGTGGATATGTCAGAAGGGAGAGCCATCTCACAGAAAGACTTGGACAGACCGGAAGAGTGGGCTAGCAAGGACATTATGAAAGTTTAACAAAGAGAAGTGCAAAGTCCTGCACCTGGGAAGACCCAGTACAAGCTGGGCTCTGTGCCTGGGAAGCTGCCTTTCTGAAAGGGACCTGGAGGTCCTGGTGGACAAGAAATTCAACATGATTCAGCCGTGTGCTGCTGCAGCAACAAAGGCAAATCGGCTCCTGGGCTGCATCTGGGTGTTACTAGCAGAGATAGAGATGTGATCATCCCACTCTACTCAGCGTATGTCAAGCTGTACCTAGGGTACTGTGTCCAGTTCTAATCCCCACAATTCAAAAAAGATGCAGACAGACTGGTGAGGGTCCAAAAGGAGGGTCATGAAGACGATCAAAGGGCTGGAGAACCTGCCCTATGAGGAAAGACTGGAGGATTTAGGTCTCTTTTCCCTGGAGAAGGCTCGGGGGGACCTTATCACAGTGTATGAGGAAAGACTGGAGGATTTAGGTCTCTTTTTCCCTGGAGAAGGCTCGGGGGGACCTCATCACAGTATTCCAATACTTAAAGGGCAGCTACAGAGGACAAGGAGCTACATGGAGAAGACAATGAGTACAAGTTGTACTAGGAGAGGTTTCATCTTAGATTCATAGAATCATAGAATCCTTTAGGTTAGAAAAGACATTTAAGATCATCAAGTCCAACCGTTAATACAAGAAAGAATTTTTTTATAGTGAGAACAATCTGTCACTGGAAAAACCTCCCTAGGGACATGGTAGAGTCCCCATCACTGGAGGTTTTCAAGACAGAACTGGACAGGGTGCTAGGTAATCTTGGGACAGCTCCCTTTTCCACAAAAGGTTGGACCAGATGATCTTTTGAGATCCCTTCCAGCCTGGGCTGTTCTATGATTCTATGGTTTTCCTGCACATACTAACAAATCTATGCAAATGTTGACTAATCATCTGAAGGTTTCTTCTCTGTCTTTGTATCTGCAACATAAAATTTTGCCCTTTGTTCTACCTTACCTTTTACATTTGAATGTCACCAACTTTTTAATATTTTTATGGAATTTCTCTACCTTGCCTTTCCCATTTTTATACTTTCACAAGTTCTTTTTCTTTCCCTTTTTTTTCTACATTTCCCTTTTTTGTGGTTTTCTGTACTTCTACATAATGCCACCTCTTCATGAACCTTACTATTGGATGTGTTTTCAGATCCAAAATTCCATTTCCCCAGAGAATAATAAATGTCATAAATTCAGCTCATATGAAGGCCGGAATAGCTGTCACATTTTAGAAGAGAGACACTCCTCTGGAGAAAAGTGTCAGAAATAAAAGCAGTATTTGCTGATATCAGTTCCCTCTAATAGTTTTTAGGTCTCTGAATGTCCATTTATTCAGAAGTATTTCCTTCTGTTTGCTTCTGAAGTGTCTTCTTATTCCCTAAAGTATTTCTGCTACATACATATTGTTTGGTAGGAACTACATCATACAATCAGAATAAGTGGGTTGCAGCACTGTTCCTGGAACTATTTCCTAGAGTTACATAAAAATATGACATAGTCAGTCTTCATGATCCAAGACAACTCATGCATTACTCTGAAGACGCCCAATCCTGCCTAGCAAGCAGAGCTGCAGCAGTCTACCGTGTGGAGACACTGACATCTGGTGGGCTCCAACAGCACTTCCAGTTTTCCCAAATGTTCCAAAAATCGGTTTACATCAAAGCATCTCTTTCTGGGTTACTCTGACCTTAATATAAATGCATATTTAAAAGTACAATCAAATATGAATAGCTGAGCATTGAAGAAGATTTATTTGAATTAGGAGCTTCGGTTTACCGAGCTCCATCTATAGTAAAAGCTCTGAAGAACTCAGTTCAAGTACTGCAGGATTCACCACTCCCTCAAATATCTCTGCAAAAGACAAAGTTTGCTCTTCCATGCTTCCTGACAAGCAAGTGCAAAATGACAGGGTAAGGCTATTTCATTGATTTCAGTGATCACATTTACACTAACAGTACGTATGCTCAAAAGCTGTGTAGGCTGGGGTCCCAGAAGCTGACACAACTACCACATGCCAGTTCAGACTAGCTAGAAAAAAATGCGATAAAGTCAAAATCATATAAGCTTTGTTCCTCAGTATGGTCTTCCCAATGCTCTTAAAATGATTTCAGCTTCCAGCTTCCTACCTGAAGGTTCCACGGAGAAGGTAAGTTTAATTATTCCTGTGCCACATGTGGACAAACTGTAGTAATGTGATAAAGTGACTTTCTCACATTCATCAGCAGGGAAGTGGGAGAGCTGCAAATATACCTCCAGTCATTAAACTATCATTGCACAGTAAAAGGGAGGAGCCCCAAAATTCTAATTTTTATTTCCATAGGGGCCAGTTACGGCCTATAGAATTTTCCACGCAGTCTTCCTCCAAGTGTAAGACAGACAGCTTCTTCTAAGATAGACAGCTGGAGAGCGGGATCAAATTATTATCCTGCCTGGCTGTCAAACTAACCTGCTACAGCTCCAGGAAGTACAGTACTGAAAGGACAAAGATCACTAAAACAGCACACGATTTGCCTATTCCAGTTCCTGGACATTTCAGGACTTTTGCCTGCTGAGTGTTTTGCCAATTGCTGCATGCGGTCCTAGTACAACTCCAGTTTAAGTGTTTAGGGGAAGCACAGCAACAGCTGCTGTAAGGATCAGTGGAAGAGTGCACTGGTGTGAAAAGCAGCATTAATCCTTACTCAGATAGCTGTAGTTTCTGAGCGGAAGTGTGCTGTTCAGAACAGCTGCTTTCTGGTTCTGTCAAATCCAGTCCCCAGATTTTTCGTGAAAGCCTGATTGTACACAAGCCAGGCAGCTGGCACTACTGATTTTATAATCTTTGCCTGGTTATTATCAAGCTAAGCTCACAGTTGTTAATATTGGCACAGAAGCTATAGACTCACACACACGCAAATGCCCTTACCTATTTCAGTAAAACAAGCTTTGACTATTAAATAGAGGTAATATTTAATAATTTATTTAAAATGTCACATTCCGCTCCTATTATTTTTATATGACTGTTCACTGCATTAATAAATGTTGATTAAATTTACCTTCAGATTTTCATGCACATCTATTTTGAAAATCTGGTTCCAGGATTGCTTCTATACTTCAAAGTATTAGCTTGAGTTCTGCAGTGACTGGTAATACTTTTGCCAGAACTCTTCATTTCCCACTGTTTCACTGCATTAAAAGATGACATAAATACATAAATATTCATAAAACATGTTTTATGCAAATATACATGGCAGTTACATAATCATGAGTGGGAAGGGGAATAGTGACACAAGATGTGACCCATATAATTCAATGTATTATAGAACTTAATATGTATGAATTCCACCACGGGTACTACATTATTGGGATTACACATGCTACCAAAATGTGTTTATTTTACTGTGTTTTCACAGTGATGAAAAACTGACTTAGGGAGGTGGTTTTGGGTTGCCTTTCTTAAATCTTTGATTCCAAAGCCTTTGGCTTAAACACTACCTTCCCATAAAGTCAGAAAGCAATACTGGGAGTCCAATGCCCCATGTAGGCCAAACAGCCCATCTGCTAAAGGTGGAAGTACCGTCTACTTAAGCCATTTTCCTAGGAAGTGGTGCTGTTATGTTTAGGGCTCCTTAGGAAAGCAGCAATTAAAAGGAGGTATTCCAAATCCTGTAAGAACACTCTAACACATGAGGGCTTAAAGGATGAGTGTTTTCTTCCTCTTCCATCCAGGTTATGCTAGAAAGGAGAGGTATTTAACCATTTTCTGAAGGAAAAAGTGGCGTGTCAAGGCTGTTGGTCAATATACCACAGAAAGCAGCACTTTCCTCTCCAGCAGGCAAGACTTGTCTGTCATGGGCAGCAACAGGGTGCAAGCTTCAGGGAAGAACTAGCAGTATTTTGTTTTGGGAAGGGCTAGATCGTGTTGGTTGCTGTCAATTCCAGCCTGAACATACCATTCTCCCAAGGCATTATTGGGGTATATCTCACCTGAGGTGGTGCTTCTGCCTCCAGGTCAGGCACCGCTGCTCCCCGGTGTTTGGCATCTATGTCTTTTTGTGGAACTCCATCAATGGGAACTGCTGACGCTTAGCACCAACAAAAGCTATGAAATATAATTGCATCTGTGTGTCCAAATTGAAAATCTTTGATGCTGCTATCTTTTGACATATCGTACACTGGTATCACGAGACATTGTAATCAGCTCTTATATGATCGTGACCAAGCATTACAAGAGAGACTCATCAAACCTTTATATGCTAGTAAAACTTACTTTAAGAAATGGAAACAAACTTGCCATACAGTTTTTAGATATGAACAGTTATACCCACGTATAAGTGAGGCAATAAAAGCTGAAAAAGGTAAATGTATTCAAGGAAAGCAAACACATACAATAGCTTTCAGGCCCTCTTCTTATCAGTTCTAAAGGTACAATGGGAACTTTATACAGCCTGGGTTTTGTTTTGGTTTTAATTGCTGGAATCTGACCAGCATGCAAGCAAGATTGTGCTGATTATTACAGTTATTTCCTTTCTCTATAATTCACTTCTTGTCATAACGTCCTAGGATTTCCTCCAACTTTATCAAATTTAGCCAAACATTACTTACTATTTGGATTATGAGGTGAATTACTCAACTGAATGACCCAGGATCATTTTCAAGCTGGGGATATTAACTTGTTGCCAGCGATGCCACTTTGCGAATCTGTTTTCTAATTGCTAGCCCATGCCACAGGTCCTGTCCTTTTCTTCTCGGGCATTTGCAAATCACGACGAGAGATGTTAAAATAATGGAAATTATTAAAATGAGAGGCTATTTTCCTCTTCTCATTTGCTTGATTGCTGGCGTTAAGTTATGGACCCAAGAAATGGGGGCGGGGAGGGGGCGGACTTGTCCTCCCAGAGCCGGGCCCGAGGGTG